GCCCTTTTTTCATCTGGATTTTATACATCTTTACATGACGTTGGAGAGGTGAGCCGGCGTGACCTCCTCATCTGTAGAGTCAAAGTTTCCGTTCAAGCTGAAGCCCGGAGCCTGGGAAGAGCTCAGCACAACCTCGTGAACCTCCTTGTGCGTCTCGAGCTCCGCGAGATCAGACTTGATGCTGGCCACAAACGCCTTGACGTTGGCAGACAGCATCTTGGGCGTGAAACCAAGCTGCCCGATAGCCATACGGATGACACCGGTACGCTCGCGGTAGTTGTCGGCGCCCATCGTCTCACGGATGGCGCTGGAAATGTTGTCGGTGATTGTCTTCATGCGACGGTTGGGCATGAGACCCTTGGGGCCGAGGATGCGGCCCAGGGCGGCCTTGTTGAGCGCCGCCTCGCTGTCGGTGTGGCAAATGAGCCGGTTGAAGACAATGTTGTCGTTCTTGATAGCCTCGAACACGGACTCCTGGCCCGCGACGACGGCGCCGGCTTGCAGGGCCTGCTGGGCGATGGGGCTTCCTTCGGGGCAGATGACTCCGACGCGGATATCGGACTTGACGGGGTTGGGGAGACGGATGCGGTTCTTGACGACGGCGCCATTTCTGGGCGTCTTGAGGTGGACGTGGATCTCGTACTTGATGGACTGGGGAGGGCGGCCGACTTCGAATGCGCGGAGGTAGCTACGTCGAGGTCAGTTGGAAGAACCAATTGGGAGACATCTTTTGCACAGAATATACACACCGCATAGCATCGCAAAGAGAGAATTGAGGGCAGTTCTTGACGTTGTAGGTCTTGAAGTCCTTGGAGAGCTTCTTCTTCTTCTTGTCCGTCTTCTTGTTACCCCCCTGGTTACTCGCGCATCGTGTCTGCTGAGCGACGGAAGGGATGAGGAACCGTGGTATCGTGGAGGCTGTCGGTCTTGCTGAAGCTGAGAGACTAAGCCGGGCCATTGAGGCCACGCACTGGTTCGTTGACGCCATCACGGGGCTCTGGGTATCTGTGATCTTTTTGGGGTTGCTACGCCAGACCTCGGATCGTCTCGCGTGAAGCTCTGGCCAAAGACTGCAGAAAAATTGGTATGGCCTAACCGTTCAGGCCTCAAGGTCAGTATCTTATCGGCTATCTTATCGAGCTGTGGTGCCCACACCTCCCGGTCACCTCCAAAAAGGTACGTATCTACGACCGGTCCGGTCCCGGTGTGAAGATACGTACACTTTGCCTCGAAACACACCATTGTCATCAGAGCTTTACCTTGGATGAAGAGTCATAATTAGTTGCCATCAGTTGAAAAGCTTTCAAGAAACTTGGAAAGATGTTTATATAAGGTGCAATCATTTTCATTTAATTTCTGTCAAGCGCATCAACTATTTCGTGACTACGGGAGAGAAAGAGCCTTACGAATCTATTAAACATTGAGGTACCTCAGACCACAACGACTTATAGGAGAAGCTCCTCGCTGTGCCACCAATCAGACCGTCTCGGCCGAGTGCTCTCGGTGAGTGCGCCGTCATGTTACCCCTCCATGATTTTTAACCCCACCACGAAATATCAGCCACTTTAAACATTTGACTCACGAGACACCAGGACCGTCCTGACCACCGATTCCCTCCGATAGTCTCATCGCCTCAATTGGACCAAACACCGCCATCATGAAGGCCGAGGAGCTCCAGACCCTCCCCACCGCCCTGGCCGGCGACTTCAAGTCGATCGAGCCTCACCTCCGCGCCCTCGACAAGCACCTGACGCTGCGCACCTTTGTTGAGGGGTACTCGCTGGGAGAGACCGAGACCAAGATCTGGCAGACCCTGAAGCTGAACAAGGTCGCTATGGGCTTCATTCGCAAGGGAACTATGGCCAACCTTACTCGTTGGTGCGTCGTGATTCGTGCTCCTAGCTTCAATCAATGTCCATCCGGCGCTAACTCGCGTTGCTAGGTTCACCTTTGTCGAAGTCACCTACCCCGAGATCCAAGCCGAGACGAACGCTGTCGATGCTGAGCGCAAGGCCAAGGTCGTTGCCGCTAGCAAGAAGGGTGCCAGCTACTCTCTTGCTCTTCAGAACGCCGAGGCCGGAGTTGTCACCAGATTCCTTCCCGAGCCTTCGTTGGTCCTCCCTCAAAACATTACCTGATAGACAACCTCCTAACCATGTAATAGAGGATACCTTCACATCGGTCACGCCAAGGCCGCCCTTCTCAGCGATTACTTCGCCCACGAGGCCTACAAGGGCAAGCTTCTGCTGCGTCTTGACGACACCAACCCCGCCAAGGAGAGTGAGGAGTTCCAGGATGCTATTGTTGAGGACCTGAAGATGATGGGCATCACCCCCGACTCCCTTTCCTACACTTCCGACTACTTCGACTACCTGTACGAGACTTGCATTCGCCTGATCAAGGAGGGTCACGCCTACGCCGACGACACCGAGCAGGAGACGATGCGAAACGAGCGAACCGATGGAATCGAGTCCAAGTGCCGTAACCGCTCCGTCGAGGAGAACCTGCGCATCTTCGAGGCCATGAAAGAGGGTACCCCCGAGGGCCTGAATAACTGCATCCGTGCCAAGATCTCCGTCGACAACGTCAACAAGGCCCTGAGAGATCCCGTCATCTACCGCTGCAACGTTGAGAACAAGCACCACCGCACCGGTGACAAGTGGAAGATCTACCCCATGTACGATCTCGCCTGCCCCGTCGTCGACTCTCACGAGGGCGTCACCCACGCCCTGAGATCGACTGAGTACACTGACCGTAACCCCCTTTACCAATGGTTCATCGACACCCTGAAGCTGCGCCAGGTCTATATGCACGACTTCAGCCGTATCAACCTCGTCCGCACCTTCCTTTCCAAGAGAAAGCTCGCCAAGATCGTCGCTCAGGGCACCGTCTGGGGCTGGGACGACCCTCGTATGCCCACCATCCGTGGTGTGCGCAGACGCGGTATGACCATCCCCGCCCTCCGCGAGTTCATCATCAAGCAGGGCCCTTCCCGAAACGTCGTCAACATGGACTGGGCGTCGTTCTGGAACATCAACAAGAAGGTTATTGACCCCATCGCCCCCCGCCACACCGCCATTCTGGAGAAGGATGCCGTCAAGGTCAAGGTCACCGGTGCCGACGCTCCCGCCACTCCTCGCACCGAGGACAAGCCTAAGCACCCCAAGAACCCCGATGTCGGCACCAAGAAGGTTGTCTTCTCCAACGAGCTCATCCTCGACCAGGCCGACGTCAAGAGCTTCAAGAAGGACGAGGAGTTCACCCTCATGGGCTGGGGCAACGCCTTCGCCCGCGAGATTGGCGCCACTGACCCCATTACCGACCTCAGCGTCGAGCTCAACCTCAAGGGCGACTTCAAGACGACCGAGAAGAAGGTCACGTGGCTATCGACGGCCGGCACCAAGCTCGTCAAGGCTGAGCTCTGGGACTTTGACTATCTCATCAACAAGGACAAGCTCGAGGAGGACGACGTGCTTGAGAAGGTGCTCAACCCCAACACGTCGACCATGGAGACGGCGCTGTGCGATGCTGGTGTCGGTGAGCTGAAGAAGGACGACATTATCCAGCTCGAGAGACGGGGCTTCTACCGCGTGGACAAGGGTCTGGATGAGGGTGACGTGGTTGTTCTGTTCAACATTCCCACTGGCAAGGCCAAATAAGTTATTTCGCTGTTTCATTTGTAGGAAGATTCAGGCCATGAAAGACATGAAGAATTGAAGTATGAAGTAAAAGCATGATCTGGTCACTGTGACTCTTGAAGCCCCGTAACCGTATGCGTACTAAATATCGCAGAAGATACATTCCTGTGAAGTGTTTCGTCATCTAGTGCTTGTTGTGTGTCGCTCCTTAGTTTTATCATGCTAGGCACAAACAAAGACAAGCAGAGTCACACGTTTCGCCGAGGAATGAATACTTAGAGAGAATGAGATCGATTTCGAGACTATAGCATCTAGTGTTGGAGTTAGGTTACATGTCTGTATTCTATTTACTCTTCCTTGCATCAGCAGTATATTGTCAGTGAGAACCATAGTTGTATGGACGGGGAATTTGCGCCCGAAAAGTAAGAAATGTCTGTTACGTGTCCTGCAGACCCCTGAGCAGTGAATGGCGAGCATGGAGAGACAATCAGACCATTCGCCTTCATCAGCTAACTCTAACCCCAGACATTCATCCCCGCGATTGAGGCAGCCTAGAACGTTCATTGTTCTCACCCCACTGCTTCCCGCATGCCTTCTGCAAGGATCGCCAATCGAGGGGTCTGACACTGACAGCCAGGTGGGTTGGGTCGAGCCGTTGGTGGCTAGCCTCGGTGACCCAACAGCTACCTCGATCCTCGTGCCTCGAAGCTGCCTGCGGATGAGCAGCTTGGTACACTAGACTGAGAAGCCATTCACTGAATGTTTCGAACTCTACTGGACAGGCTCATTCATGTCTGGCTTCAGTCTGGATGTACCGGCTTGAGGACACCGATCCCGGTCCGGTTGTAGAATCCGCGCACCAAATTATACATGTCTGGCAGCCTACCCAGCCAAACGACTCTTCACCTCGTAATTCCCCAGAATAAGAAAGGCGTAGTCCTTCGATACAGCCGAACCGGAAGCGTGGGGCGACATTTCCGGCCAAGATCGGGAGAAGCTCCCATCGTGCCACGAAGCGTACCTGATCTCGCCTCATCCTCACACCGACACTCTTGCATGAGATTCCACCAATCCTCCGCCATCGTCCTGCATCAGTTTAAATAGAAGCTATACACGTTGCAACTTTTGGTGGTTTACAACTCTGGAAATCAGAGCCACTCCTTGATAGCCTTATCAGATCCCAAATTACACACGTCCAGTATCGGAATCTTGCATCATCTCCTGCAGCTAATGAGCTACCCTAGCCCACCCATTCACTACCGCTCTTTATTAAGGTCAATCCCGTCCAAGTCAACCCAAGCTCTTCGGGAACGAGACCCCCTCTTCAAGAACTTCAGGAGCACATACCCAACTTCAGTCAAAATGGCCGAACCCAACAATACACCCTGGCCCCCAGCAACACCACAATCTCAAACCCCTCTCTCCGCGTCGCCTGTCCTCCGCCCCCATCCTGGCGGTCAAGTAGAACCCAAAACGGCAGCATCGCAAGCATCAGCAGCAACGAAAAACGGCACGCATAAGCCCCGCGTCCTACACATCGGCGACCCGATCAAGTACAACCCGGAAACCTACGCCGCCTTTTCCGCGCAATGCGACATCATCCGCCCCTCGACGCCCGAACGACAGCGCCCCGCATTCGCTGCCGCATTACGGGACGGCAAGTGGGGCGACTTTTCCGCCATCTTCCGGCCGTTCTGGGGCACGGGCGGCGAGATGGGTACGTGGGACGCCGAGCTGATTCCGCTGCTGCCGGCGAGCTGTCGGGTTTTTGCGAGTGCGGGTGCCGGGTTCGATTGGGCAAATACGCAACTTCTCGGTGAACGTGGTGGGCCTTCCCCCTTTCCCTAGGTCGCCCTTTATTGAGTGAAACATATCAGATATGATTTGGGAATACTAACACAAAAAGGCATCATCTATTGCAACTCAGGCCTCGCCGCCGCCGAAGCAGTAGCAGACTTTGCCGTCGCTCTTGTCGTCTCAACCTTCCGCCATCTCCCCTGGTGCACAGCATCCGCCGCAGACCCGTCCGCCTTCCAAGACTGCCACGCTCGCGCCACGGCCGCCTCGCACACCCTTCGCGGCCACGTCCTCGGCCTCGTGGGCATGGGTAACATCGGCCAGCAGATCGCGCAGCGTCTCGGCGTCGGTTTTGGTATGAAAGTACACTACTTTGACGTCGTCCGCAAAGACCCAGTCACCGTGGAAGCCAAGTTTAGCGCGACGTTTCACGAGACGATGGAGAGCTTGCTGCGCGTCTCGGATTGTGTTGTGCTGTGCACACCTGCTGGTGGTAAGGTTATCACTGCCGAGTCATTGGCTTGGATTAAGCCTGGGTCGAGGTTTGTGAATATCGCAAGGGGTAGCTTGGTTGACGAGGAGGCTTTGGCGGATGCGTTGGAGTCTGGGCAGATTGGGACTGTTGCGTTGGATGTGCATGCTGATGAGCCGAGGCCGCATCCGCGGTTGCTCAAGATGGCGGGGACGAAGGCCATGTTGACATGTCACAATGCTGGAGGGACGGTTGAGACGCACAAGGGGTTTGAGGAGTTGAGTATGAGGAATATCATGGCGGTGTTGGGGGGAGGGCAGCCGATTACGCCTGTCAATCTGCATTATCTGAAGCAGTGAAGGGTGAGGTAGAATACGACTTGGTCTGTCTTTCCTTGGAGTCAAATAAGCTGCATAGAGGGTTTGATCTTTGCAGGAGAGAGAGGCTACTTATTGAACTTGAATGATGATACATACGACTTAGTACCCGCAAAATGATTACTGACTTACATGACGGCTAGAGCAATCATGTTCATATCGTGGACTTTGAATCTAGAGGAGAAGCAAAACATATCGAAGGTGAGTCCCCGAAAGAGGTTTGTTCATAGGTTCGGAAAACGCGAGTAAGGACCTCGCATATCCGCCAGATAGGCGTTATTCTTGGTGAGACATTGATCTCAAGTATACTGTTCAACTTGATTAGACCTTGATCCCGGTTGTTCAGCTCGCTCAGCCACTCATACTAGCTTCCTCAGCCCAATGAGGCTGCCTTGCGTGTCTGCCTGGAGATGGTGAGCAAAAGCCTGTCTTTCAGGCTTCAAAGGGAGCCCTGTCCCATGCCTTAAACACACGCCTCGTAGTAAAGCACATCAAACTTGTTCAATGGCAAGGACACGACGGATCTTGCGAAATATAATGGCAAATATTCAGAAGTATACTGAGCGCAGCAATGTGCAAAGCAATCCAACTGATTGGAGCGCCAAACTGCCCGATCCGAAAACCCACATTCGCCTGCTCACGATCCTCCCAGGTCGACAGACAGAGGAACTTCGTTGTACCTGCAGCACTATCAGACTTGATGACAGGCCAAAGTACAACGCCCTGTCGTATGTCTGGGGCAACCGTGAGGCAACGGCTCAAGTAATTGTGAACGGCGTTCAAGTTACCATCAACAAGAGTCTGGCAGGAGCTTTGAGACGTATCCGCCATGATCGAGAGCCAATTGTTATCTGGGCAGATGCTCTTTGCATCAACCAGGATGACGAAGACGAGAAGAAGTATCAGATCGATCTCATGCATCGCATTTATGGCGAGTGCGAGAATTGTTTGGTCTGGATGGGAGACATAGTAGTGAAAGGGGATAGCAGCGTCGCAGCGGAACTGGCTGCAAGAGCGGCCTTGAACGCTTTGCGCATCATCGCAGGGCAGCCACACGACGAGGATCTCGGTTGGCCTGGACAGTACCCAATTGCTACAAGCGTTGCTGGCAATGGTCTCACCGCCGGGGCAGCATTACAATCGATGATGGACTGCGAATGGTGGCAGCGTATCTGGACAGTCCAGGAAGTCTGTCTGCCTCCGAAAGCCACGGTTCTCTGGGGACCACTCGAGATCAGCTTCCAAGCAATCATGGACGCAGCGAGCCATATGGTGCAACCAGATGAGCACCCGCAACGCAACAACATTTTCGATCTGTTCCAAGAGGGCACCGCCATGTACCCAAGGCTTCATACAAGTCCATACACGATACCCGTCCTCAGCATTGCTCACGCCAGACTCTGGAACCAGTCCAGAACCGACTCCCTGTATAGACTATGGCGGTTCCGAGATAGGAGGTCCACATATCCGAAAGACAAGCTGTTTGGCATCTGGGCGCTTCTCAACAAGACATACTTGCCTGAAATCAGGCCAACGGATTACGTCCTCGATATTGTGGTCTTATTCTCAAGACTCATGGTCAGTTTACTGAGATCTCTTGATAGCCTCAAGCCTCTTATTGGCTGGAGAGGTGAAAGAGAGACGGCCGGTCTGCCTACCTGGGTCCTGGATTTGGCCCAGCTGGAGGACTCTGATTGCACCAGCGATTTCTGGACACATGATATTGCCTGGAGGCAATTTCATGCCAGTAGTGGACTACCACGATTCAAGCCACCAGTCAAGCAAGCAGAAGATCTCACATTGCTCACTTTGGACGGCATTCGCGTTGACAAAGTGGCTACGATCTTGATGGACCTGAGGCACACGCGACAGTCCCTTTGGAGACAGGGATTTGAAGACGCTATCAAGGACCAAGCCGGTAAAGACGATATCATGTATCAATATAACAGCCTTATCCAGGGCAAATTTGGCGAGAATCGTGAGCGCGTCACGGACGAGTCTTGGCACGGGGGTCCGTGGCGGGAGGACAGGATGCTCTGTTACCAAGTTCTTTTCATCACGCAGGAGAATCGGCTTGGCCTTGGTCCGCCTAATTTGAAGCCAGAAGACAATGTTTGGATTCTTTCGGGCGGGAATCATCCCTTCTTACTCCGTCAAGTCTCAAAGAGAAGGGGTAATGCGGACTTATGGGAATTCGTCGGGGATTGCTTCGTTTACGGCATCATGTACGGAGAAGCCTCTTCTGGTGGATTTCAGCTCTCGTCCGTAACCTTGTGTTGACGCCGCTCTCATGATGGCCTCACCATCGGTGCTTGGAAAGATATCTTAACGTGTTTCTTCAGTCCTAGCTTTGGGACATAACATTGGATATGAGATCAAGATCTCATAAGACAAGTTTACTTGGCGTCAAGGCTTGCCTTACAATGCAACAGCTGTGTCAAACAATAGGCGTCATTCGCTCGTGCAGCATCAACGACAGCGTAATTCTTGCGTTCCGTCTTCTAAACACTGTATTTTCAGCGGTCGTCTCCCAATGTCTTCTTAGAGACCTACGGACGATTGAGATTGCTGTGTGAGTCTTCACGTCGGAGCTTAGCTAGAGCATCCAATTACTTCACAGCGACAATCATTGATGATTATTATGTGAAAATCACGGGGGTTAAGTGAGGCGCATCTCACTCTTGAGACACATTTCATTCAGTTTTAGTGCAGCAGAGGGAGGCGTAGGCAGATGACTGAGATTGAGGGGCAGCAGGCGGCACGTGCGCCAATGTTGTCACGAGCCTCAGCTCAAAGTGCGCTGAGCTGAGCTGAGCTGAGCGCAGACAGTGAGAGTTGGAATGAACATGTCGTGAACCAGACAGGAGACGGCATCATCTTGCGACTCTACGAACTCATCCAGAACATACTGACTACTCTGGTACCCTCATCGGTGCTGACGTCAACTATCATGGCCTCCTCAAAGCGCTGGCCGGCGCCCATCCACGTCTTCTCCTACCGCGCCCTACTCGTGGTGCCCATCATCCTCGCCATCGCGACCTTCGCGTCGCTCTTCATCCACTCCGACGTCAACGTCGCCCTCCTCTACTCACAATGCGATGCCCGGGCTCGCCTGCCGGCCGTCAGCAAAGTTCCCGTTCTCGGCCCGCCCGTCTGCTTCGCCATAAGCTTCTTCCAGAGCGCGCTCGATTCCATGCGGACCTTTGCCACCATGTCAGCCATCCTCTCCTTCATCGCAGGCCTCATGACCGTTACCACCATCGAGGCCGCACGCGTCTGTAACGCGCCCAACGTCGTTATTGCGAACCCCACTGGCCCATGGCTAGTTTTCAACCTCATCGGTGGAGCTGTAGTCTGGCAGCTTGTCATCCTACCCGCCTTTTTCCACCGCTCGCGATCTATCCTGCTCGCTCGGAAGAGGGCCGGACAGGAGGCCGTCGAGAGCGCCGCATCCAAGGATCCCGACTTTGGCAAGGACTCGCGCCATCTCGTTGTCGATGCGGAAATTATCGCCATCCCCGTCAGTGTCGCGTGGGGCTTCATTCTGCCCTCCCTGCTGATGCTCATCTACAACTCCCCGGTCATCATCGTTGTCTGGCTCTTCTTTCCCGTCTGGGTGTCACTGATCCGCCAAGCCGTCAGATGGGCCGTCTTGCGTGTTCAGAAGCGCCAGCACCGCAGCTTCCACCTCGAGTCTCACACGGTCTCGCTTCTGCTCGTCTACCTCATCCCCATTCTTTGCTCCGCAGTCTCTCACGTCTACTTCATCTGGAGCCTGTTTCAGTGGGACGACAGGAAGGAGATGACACGTGCTACAGTCAAATTCGTTGAAATTGACATGTTCTTCATCGGCTTGACTGTCCTGTATTGGCTCTTCGTTGAGACTGGCTGGAAGGTCCCCTTGGTCGCAGTCCTTGGCACCATCCCACTCGGACCGGGTGCCGGTATTTGTATCGCATGGATATACCGAGATACCGAGATTCGTGAGAGTCTAAAGCAGTGGCTTTCTGATGTCGTTGGAAGTCAAGAAGAGGCTAACGAAGAGGGCAGAGCTTCGGCTAGCGAGGAGACACCACTATTGCATTGATTGTGTGACGAGATAGCAGCAAGTAAATACAAGCCGACACTCATTCATCGCCGCGATGACAGTTTTCCTTGTAATTATCTCTCTCGCATCTATTCTCATGCGTAGATAGCTTCTTTCCCGAGAAGTCTTTACAATGCCGAAGAGTCCGCCTTGGCCAAGCATTTCGGCATCTTGATCTACATCGACACTTCGGAATCACTACTCAACGAAAGATATACAAGATGCAAGCCCCCCAACTCCTGATGTTCCCCGCCCAATCCTCAAGCAACGCCTTTCGTCCGGTTATGAGCGTCGGTATCTTTGTCTTGGCCAACATCACACGCACGATACCGTTGAGAAACATGGCACTACAGCCACTCTTCGAACTCTTCATACGCGAACCAGAATCCTGCGGGGGGAAAGCTCACAAGGTGCATGTTCTCTCTCCGCACGATACCCCGCGGGGGCCCCAGATCTGTCCCCGGATCCTCGTTCAAGGTTAATTGGCTGGTGTCGATTGGATGCCAGGTCTAGATTTCTGTCTTGGTATCTGCCAACTCTATAAATATGGGTCAGCCATCGTAAAGGGGCGTCTTGGTTATCTGAGCTCATCAGCCTGCAAACGTGACGACGGACGACTTCACAAAGAATCGTGTTGATATCTCAGACACATACCTTCTTCACCATGGGTTTCGCTTCAGCAAAGGGGACGAACGACCCCCCCGAGGTTCGCAACTGGAGAATCCACTTCATTGCTCTCGTTGCGTCCATGGCGGCCTTGTCCAGTAAGTGAGGTCTTGGGAGAACCCGAATATTCAGTTCATTGCCCTCTTTAACGCAATAGAAATCTGCAGTGGGCTATGATACGGCCGTCATAGGAGGCACAATGGCTCTCGACTCCTTCGTCCGCGACTTTGGCATCGACAAGATGACCATCCAAGAAAAGAATAACTCCTTAGCCAACATCGCCTCCATGTTTCAAGTCGGCGCCTTCTTCGGTGCCCTCCTCACCTTCCCCGTTGCCGAGAAGTACGGTCGCAAGAAGGCCATCATGATGGCGGCTCTCATCTTCTGTGTAGGCGGAGCCATGATGTCCGGAGCCAACGGCGACCTCAAACTTGTCATCGGTGGCCGCGCCATCGGCGGCCTTGGTATCGGCATGGCTACCATGACGGTTCCGGTCTACATCGCTGAGACGTCACCGCCGAGTATCCGCGGACGCCTCGTGGGCATTTTTGAGATCTTCTCTCAGGGCGGCGGGATGCTCGGGTTCTGGATCAACTACGGCACGAGCCGTACTATCGAAGTTGAGAATGAGGCGCAATGGATCGTTCCGCTGGCCTTACAGCTCCTTCCGGCCTTTCTTCTTTTCGTTGGCATCATGTTCTGTCCAGAATCACCCCGTTGGCTGGCTCGAGGTGATAACTTCGAGGCCGCGGAAAAGGTTCTGGTATACGTGCGAAGTCTCCCCGCCGATCATCCCTATATCCAAAATGAGATGAGCGAAATAAGACAACAAGTTGAGGAGCGAAGCACCGTCCGACTCAGCAAGAAGCAACAACTAAAGAAACTCCTTGCTCCTGGCACAAGAAACCGTGTGGGCACTGGGACGTTTCTCATGTTTCTGCAAAGTTACACAGGTGTCAACATAATGACATACTATAGCGTTTACGGTAATGACTCTAAAGGACAACCATCTGTCTCTGTCCCCGTACCCGAGGCTGACACCCTAAATCAGTTTTCGAGACCCTTGGAATCACTGGAACCAGCAACAAGCTATTCAGCACCGGAATCTACGGGATCGCAAAGATGTTGGGCATGATTCTGTTCGCAGTATGGGTCATAGAGGGCCTCGGCCGTCGCAGCGGACTTCTATGGGGTGCTTTCGTTGGCAGCATTCCCCTCTGGTATGTGGGCGGGTATGTCATGGTTGCTAATCCGACCGCCAAAGCAGCGAGCGGTGTCATTCAACAAGATGCGTGGGGTTATCTTGCCATGGTCTGCATTTACCTCAACGCCTTCATCATCTGCTCCACTATCCAGGGAATCACGTGGACATACGCATCCGAGATCTTCCCCTTGGATATCAGGATGCTCTGTGTCGCGATGTCTACCGCGTGTACGTGGTTGGGCTCCTTCATTGTCGCGAGAGCCACTCCTTTCATGATTACCGACGTCGGGTACGGGACGTTCTTCATGTTTGGAGGATTCTTGATCTTTATCGGCGTTTGGTCATTCTTCTTCATTCCGGAGACAAAAGGTCAGTTCTACTTATCGCCAAGAATGCCTCTACGCTCATGTTTTATGCTGACAATCTTACCATAGGTCGCTCGCTGGAGGATATGGACATTCTGTTTTCGCGGCCGACACATGTGGTTGTTTGGGCACAGCTCAGGGGAAGGCCGATCCTGTCGACGAATACTCCAATGTCGCTCAGAGGATCTATAGACAAAGGCGAAGTCAAGGTGGTTGACATGGCCTAGTGTGATTTCAACCACGGCATCCTCTCATCTCCAAGAAGAGTCTGTTGGCATTACTAACCGAAAGACGCTCTATTTATTACCACAAGTCCTTTACGCGTAGACACAAGCAATTAGTTCTCTTATCAATCTGCGGTTGACTTAGATGATACGTGCGTGGTTATAGATCTTATCATAAGACCACTGTTCACGGAAAAGGCATGGCAGCGAAATGAATAAGGCAATGAAATCTTGTTATTCGCCGATACTTTCAAGACATGATGGTCACCGAAGTCTTCAGGTGCCTAGACTACAAGATAGCCACTGCTGAAGGCGGGCTAGCGATCCCGCCAGGGATATCCAAAGGTACACTGACCATCATGAAGGACCATCTCTGGAGTTCTTTACACCTTACAGCGAGCCTCTCCAAATCGAAACTCTCTCCAATCGGCATGCCCCAACCACTCAGGAACACCTCATGCATGCTAACGCCCCATGGTTTTGGGCTCGGCCAGGCCTCGTACGCAACAGTATCCGAGGCCACCGCAGCAAACGCATGATCCCAGTGCCAGCGAATCGCCTCTTCGCTTGCTTCGACGCCACAACTTGCTCGCACTTGCCGTTGGGGTAAAGCAAGTTGTTCAGCGACGGTGAGCGCACGGTACGCCGGTAGCCAGCCTGTTCGGACTAGCAGGATGTCGCCTTGTTGAAACTCGATTTTCTGAGCGTTTGCTACGGCCTGGAGTTGAGACAGGGGAATGCCAAAGGTTGAAAATGGGTCAAAGGTGATGTTTTTCTCGGTTGCCCAGGAGTACCAGTCAAGTAGAACTCCGCGGCCAGTGATGGACTTCCTTGCCATGTCTAGTGAGCGAAGCGTTAGGAAGCGGTCTTAGAGACTGTGAAGCAGGACTTGGGCGTTGTTCTTCTTACTTTGAATACCGAGTTTAGTGTTGTTATCGGGCCCTGAAATATCATCTTGAGTCACGCCATTGTAATATTGAATATGCTCTTGGTAAGGATAATGTCGTGGCCCATCCCAATGCGTTGCGCCTTGCGTATTGATGGAGATCTGTTCCCGCAACTTGTTAGAGACTCGTGACCGCGAGCCATGGCTCAGAAGACTAACCTCGTCGTCATTAGCGTTGCCTTTTGGAATGATACGGTGTTCGCACGGCTTTCGAACTGGGTTCATTGGCTGTATAAAGGCATCCAATGGAAGACTGTTGTATAAGAGCTTGTTTAGCGCTGAAACTGAAGAGAGCTTTCACATGGCCTGTCAAGTGTACTTACTTGAGCGTTATTGTCTCGCCTATGACCACCTCCCTCGTGGCATTCTTGACCAAAGCTGGGTTCAGAAGATTGAGAGCCCCGAGTTCATCTTCATCGCCCCATAATCCCCACGCCGATGCTTTCGGATCTCCCACATGGAGCGGCAAAGAGTCAAAGCTTGGCCGGGTGCTTACTTCGGTTGAATTAAAGTTGCCCATGGCTGAATCAGCTGGAGAAGACAGTGCATTCCCTTGTGTTTCAAACATCATTGTTTCTATTCCAAAGAAGCTTTTAATAATGCTCAAGACTGAACATGCTCATAGGTAGACCGAGATCACAGGCCGAGGGTCAGCTGGAGATCGGCTTGGGGAGACCCGCAGGCTGCGACTAGGAGTGACGGCGATCTCGGCAAGATCGGTATTCTTTCCGGCTGACACCAACCCCCAACCCACAAGTCCAAGGCAATTCGGCATGTTCTCAAATGCATCCGAATGCTCCGCAGAGAGGAACTCGAGGCCTCAACGCCTTCGGACAACCTCCACCGCGTTTACAATTCCGGGAGCTATGGGAACAAGCCAGCTTACCGGTATCCCACCGGCTTGACATCCCCTCTCCGTTGAAAGTGGCTTCAATGTAACAGTATCAATTGTATTACAAAGTAGTTGACGGCCATACGCTAGCTTTCACTTTAGAAGCCATCGAGGTGGGATCCAGATGGCCAAACTAGACTCGTGCCGGAGAACGACATGCCGGAATCGCCCAAGATGTGATCTGCAACTCCCCATGGGAACGCGTCCGGTTGAAATCCGGCCCCTGTGTTTGTCCCACCGTAACTAACATCGTTACTCCAGCTGCCCCCCTCCGTGAAGAACGCATTCTCATCTACCTCTGGATCGACAGCAGAAGAAAGCTGTGAGGCATTTTGTGCCGCCGGATGATTTCTAGTCGAAGTGATATGACGGCCCATACTGCCTCTTTGCACACCACCCATTCGTGGGTTCAGTGACCCTGTCTGACGCGGCTCGACTTGATGGGAGTTCTCAGAAGAATTCGAGACAGCATTGTGTCTGCAATCCGAGTTGTTGCCAACGTCTACAACTCGGGGTTGCCCGTTGCTCAATAGCCGACGAATGGTATCGAGACTTCTTCCGCTTCCGGGGGTATGTGAAGCTTCCTGCTGGAGTATACGACATGCGGCTGCAAGCCTGGCTGCCGCGTTTTCTCTCTCGATACCAGTTGATGCTCTTTTCAGCTCTTCGGCTTCAACTGTAGCAGCTGTATATATGCAGTAGCTGACTTGATACGTCATTAGTCGATGAGGGAAAGTCGTTGAGAATAGTGAATGAATCGAGTGAATCTTCTTCGAATGGCGTACGCAAACCTCGAGCGCCTTCTCCTTGATTGTGGTGTCGGAAGAGCTCAAATACGGCCTTCTTAAGAGAATGTGTAGAGCATGGTAAAGGAGACTTTCCTTGTGTCAAAACCGGGTCTACTGAGAGAGAGCGAAGAGAACTTACTTCAATGACACAATATGTGGGGGAGGGCTTTGATCCAACATGGATGCGTCCTCGATTCTCAATGGACTCGGAATCTCATGATACCACTGACATATCCTGCTGTCAAGCTCCTCCATCTGTGTAGTGAACTCCTCGTTCCTGCTTGTGCTTGAGAACAGCAACATCATATCTGTAGTGGCTTCGTGAAGCCGGCAAAACGCACAAAAGGCTGATGTCGTCCAGGAAGGCGAAGCAACAAAGTTTTCGGAGACTTCGGTAGCTTGAACAGGCTTCCAGGAGCGTTGATCGTCAACTTTATCCAGTATATCCTGAGCAGGGTAAGGACGTCGTATCAGAGAAGGCGGACGGCCTAGGGCCAGGCTGAGTGTCTTATCCCAGATGTAAGCTGAGTTGTACAGCCTCTTTCGAGTCTCTATCTCAGCAGGTGTCCATCTCTCAAGCCTGGAGAGCTTAGTGATGTCCAGGTGAAGCCCAATGTCTTTCATCATCCGTACTGCCATGCCGGTGTATAACCAACCTTCGGAGCTTTTTCCCATGGCACACTGGCGCCCGCCTAGAATCAGCAACCCCTGAATTGTAGGGATCGCTGGCTTCATGGCCGTCATTTCCTTCAGTAACAGCTCCCTTGCACGTGCGATGAACTGGTCGCCTCTCCCCACTCCAGCTGCTGCGGTAACTTGCTCAGGCAGATGTCGAGCTGCTAGACCGAAGATACATAGGAGCAAGAAATCGGTGCAATATGGTCCTCCGAGAGCCAGATCCATCATTAGGATAGGTCTGTAGACACAGCTATGAAGTGGATGTAGCCACGTCCAATAGATATCAAGAAGAGCCATGCCGAGAGTGGTGTCGATGCCGGTGCCGTTCATTGCTGGCTTCGCGGCGATCAGAGGCAGCCACACCGAGTCCATCAAAGCATACTGAGACTGTAAAACTTCTACTTGTGCTCGCTTTGGGTCGCTATCCTGATGTTCGCCGGTCAGGTGGGTTTCCTCAAGGGAGCCAGCATGAAAGCGACTTGTCGGACCATTGTAGATGACAGTACCGTCCTCTCCGAGGCCGACCTGGAACCAAAGCGAACCCTCCGTGTCGGCATTGGCTTCAGCAGCACGACTACCATCGTGAGATAGTGGGTGGCTGCGAGCCGTACCGGGATTCGTAATATCGGTATCAGGTGTCTCGAGGTCTGGCTGAGGCTCGTTGGAAGACCGAATCGGACTCCTCATTGATGCCTCTAGATTCCGAATGCGAGCATTTGCCTCTCGAAGTCGGAACTCGGTCGAGTTCTGTGCCGGCCAGCTGCAAGTCTCCCCGGACCGGCGGCATCCCGTACAGATGGGCCGATTTCCACTGCACTTGACCTTGCGAGCTTTGCAGCTTGAGCACGCAAATCCATAGCGGCGAGCTTTCCGGGCAGCAGAAGATGCCGAGGCGGAGGCTATCTGTGCTTTCGGCGTTTGCAGACCGGCTTCGGCATCTTCACTTCCGTCGGAGCCTGCCATAGGCCGGACAGAAAGTTATTCGGTGGCTTTCTGGGGAGTATCCAGTATTACTGTAAAGTGAGGAGACCGAGATCAGGCAAAGATGTGGCAAGTCGAGCCGAATATACTGGCAAAGTTGTGAAGGTGAGATGTGAAGTCTCAACAGTATTCACGGCATTTCCCCACAAGCCGCCTCCTCATTGCGGGGAAGCGAGGAGATGCCGACGGGATGCCGCTAACACACCACGTAGACGTGATCCTATTTGCCTAGGCCAACATAAACGCTCCCTCCTCCTTTTTAACTGATTCCAATTTCTTTGTTCAGCAGCTCGAACCATCAGGGACTGACGACCCCCCTAGCATGGGCTTTAAGAGACAGAAGGGGAAGTGCGAAGAGGTGTATCCTCACATAGTAGCTTTGAGAACTGGGGCCGTGTCAAGCAAAAGAGAATTTGATGCACATATTATAACTTCATCATCCTTATGCCGAAGCGATCATACATGTTACATCTATTGTACGTGATGCATATCCTCATGCCTGGCGCCGCCGGCTAGGCTCTACGTCCTATTAATATATACAAGGTCCAGCAAGGTTGGTGCCCATGTAGACAGCTCGGACATACTCCTCATTCCAATAGAGCTTAAAAAGCGAATGTGGCTGAAATCATTACACAGTGCTCAAGAGCGTTGTAACCAAGTTGGATTTCCTGACTATGTGCTCTGCACCAAAATCTTGTATCCAGGCACTTCGGCACCTCTGAGTTGATTAAGTGTGATCTATGTAGTCCTTGACAGCTGAGATCAGGGAACATATCGGTACAGAGGATGGTCATCGCCCTCCTCGGACACTTCTGGAGGAACATAGTCCAGATCGCTTTTGCCGTACTTCTCGTCACGCTTCTTGTTCTGCAATCTTAAGCAAAGACTAAGAGTAGCAGCTATGATAGCCGCGCCAAACAATAGTCCAGCACAAATCCACATACCCTTGGAATACCAAGGTTGAGCCGATTTCGGGAACAAACGAGCTCCAAGAATAGGCCCACACTGTCCAACCATACCGAACAAGGCCAAACCTGCGCCGCGTTTAGATGCCGAGCCTTGATTATCCGTTACCCACGTAAAGGTGATGGCAACCGCCGGGAACACTCCCGCGCAAACAAGGAAAGTTGCAAAGTAGCGGACCCCAGTGCTGTGGATTGTTGCAAGCAGGACATAACCAATGGCCCCCACGGAACAGAACAAGGCGATAAAGATACCTCGACTCCTAAGACGATCCGAAACAAAGCTGGCAGAGACACAGACCACATACGCGGTCAGGTAGGGGCAAGCGGACAGACCCTGAGCACGAAGTGAAGTAAAGCCCATGGCCTCAAGAATCGTGGGTAGGTATGCCGGAAGGGATCCAAAGGCGGTGTTGAGACTGAAGATGATGATAGCTTGCAAGTAGTTCTTGTAGTCGAAAAACGCAGCGAAAGCTTGCTTTCCGTTTAACTTTCCGCTTCTTTTTTCGCCGCGGCCTTTTATGGCGCGATGACTGATGATCTCGTTCTCGCGGGAGCTGAGGAAACGGCACTCGGCTGGGGAGGCAGGGAGGAAGAAGTATGCCACGACGGCGAGAATTATCGTTGGGGCACCCTCTAGAAGATTAATGAGTCAGTCAATAACTTTGAGTATCACTTAGGTAGAACATGGTTCTTGCCACACTTACCCACAAGAAAGAGGAGTTGCCAGCTGTGAATAGACGCCTTCACGTGCAGCAGGCCGTAAGCAATTGCAGAGGCAACACAGCTCGCAAGCGGTGCGAATGAAATGAAAAGCCCGTATCGGAGACCCATCTCACCACGATGATAGAAGAAGGTCAAGTATAGTGCGACAGCTGGGATAAATCCAGCCTCGAAAGCTCCAATCAAAAAGCGCAGAGCCATCATGCCTGCGAGATTGGTTGTGACTGCTTGAAGCATGCTCATGGCGCCCCATCCAGAAACCATCATTGCAGTCCATAATGGCAAGGGAACGAAGGTCCAGACGATAATCAACTGGGGGATTCGACTGTCAGCGACAAGAAGCCAGAGACTGGAGAGTCTGTAGAGAGAGTCTCACCCAATGAAACAAGATGTAGCCAATGTATAGAACGGTCACGATCCAAGAGTAATCGTCCGAAGTAATACCCCAGTCTTTCCCCATGCCCGCAGTGTATGCGTTCCCGACATTGCCGCGATCAATGTAAGAGCAGAAATTAAGGGCTCCGAGCCTGCGTAGACAATGTTGTCAGTAAATAGAAACTGTCTTAATGCAAGGTCCTGGCCAAGAAGACGAACAGAGCTTTCCTGCTGGCCAAGAGTAAGGTACTCACAGGGGTATCAGACTCCAATCGAGCTTTCTCAAGGCAGAGCCCTCTTCCTCGCTGGTCCAAGTGACTGTGGCTGTGCCATCTCCCGACTTCAAGTCGTCAACAACATTAATCTCTTCCATTCGACCGCCGGAAGAAGGCTTGGTGTCTTCGACGTGGGTTGGATCCTGCTTCGCTTCTTGGCGCGTAGCTGACATGGTAACAGCAGAGTCTTGTAAAGAACCCGTGAAGAACTCTTGGGCGAATTGGTTAGAGTCGATACGGCCGAGGAAGGGCTTCTCAAAATTACAACTTGAGCTTCTTGAGGACGGCTTTTCGCACACTTTCGTAGGAGATCATAATGGACTTATGTTCAACTTATTCCAGTCATTGTGAGCTTGTCTCAAGTGGACCAAAATATCATCCAGACATCCGGAGAGAGGTTTGCCTACCCCACGGGGAAGGCTCCCCCGCCAAAATCTCAAGCCAACTCATACTAGGTGGGTAGACTAAGAAAGCCATCACACTAGGTCTCGGTATCAATGCCGAGTGATGTGCTGTAGACCAGGAGGCACGAACCTCTGGTAATACAGATTTGGTCAAATAAATGTGTCCATGGGAGATACCGAATAATCAAAAGAGATAGAGGGGGAGATGCCGAGGAGAACCCCGCAGATCGGATTGAGTTACCGAGCTTGCTGTGTAAGATTCCGAACAGCCCTGTAGCGCAGGCTTTCGCAGAATAATCTGAGCCCTCGGGCGGGCAAATGGAAGGCTAAGCAAGAACGTCATATCCTCCAATAGACTGGCTGAGGACATCGGATAGCTTCCGAAAGACGGCATTCATGAGCGTTACCCGATTTCGCTCAACTGATCTCGAAGGCGCGGTTTTAACTTGACAAGTCAAAAAGAACGCGTCCTGCCAGGGTTTCAACGATCTCCTGAGTGCATCGGGATTTCAACCTTTTTCAATTGTCTGTCAAGCGTACATTGCTCGCTTTTGCCATGGCGACCTCTAATCCATCAGATGAGTTCACCATACTCACCCCGAATGCCATGCTTGGCTACGGATATGACTCGAATCATTTCTGGTACGGTATCAACAAGTACAAGCCCAGCGCCATAATTGTCGACAGCGGCTCCACCGATGGCGGGCCGTATAAGCTCGGCATGGGCAAGATGACGTGCGGCCGCGGCTCCTACACGCGAGACCTCGAGCCCATTCTCGCAGCATGTTATCACCATAAGATCAAAGTCCTGATTGGCTCTGCCGGAGGTGACGGCAGCAACAAGCATGTTGCTGAGATGCTCGATCTGGTCAAGGAAATCACGGAAAGTAACGGATACTCATTCAAAGTGGCGACGATCCAGGCGGGAATGGATCGCGAATGGATCAAGTCGAGGATCTCTCAAAATCGAGTCGGGCCGTGTGGTCCTGTGGAACCTTTGGTCTCCGAGGTTGTGGATGGTGCTGTAGATGTTGTTGCGCAAATGGGATCTGAGCCGTGAGTCTGCTTATGGAATTAGGGATTGGATACTCTTAACTAACATGGAGTTGAAGATACATCGAGGCATTGAAGGGAGACCCGGACATCATCATAGGCGGAAGATCCTATGACCCTGCCCCCTTTGCTGCGTTTTCAATCTCCCGAGGAGTGTTGCCCGACGTTGCGTGGCACATGGGCAAGATTATGGAATGCGGCGGCATCTGTGCCGTACCCAAGGGACGATCAATGGTAGCAACCATGAGAAAGGAGTCCTTTGACCTCACACCCTTGTCACCAGCAGAACGATGCACTCCTCTCTCCGTTGCAGCTCATACTCTCTATGAGAAGACGAGACCAGACCGCCTTCCCGGCCCAGGCGGCATCCTAAACCTCGACAATGCCAAGTACGAACAAATCACGCCAAAGACGTGTCGTGTATCCGGGGCCCGTTTCGAGACGACGCCATATCAAGTCAAACTCGAAGGCGTTACCCATCTAGGATATCGCACGATCTTCATCGGTGGCATCCGAGATCCCATTCTGATCGACCAAATTGACGACTTTTTGGAGAGAGTCCGCAAGTATTCCCAGAATCTGTTCCCGGAGCTCGACAAGACGGAACAATGCCAACTCTTGTACCACGTTTACGGGAAGAATGGTGTGATGGGCCCTCTAGAGCCAGTCCAGGGCCGTCCCCACGAGATTGCGGTCTTGGGAGAGGTCGTTGCACCCACGTCTGAACTCTCACATACGATCGCGAACAACGTTCGGGCTTCCATCTTGCATTTTGCGTATCCAGATCAAGTCGCGACGACGGGAAATTTTGCCAGCCCCCTGTCGCCGCATGAACAGGATGCCGGGGCTGTGTTCAAGTTCAGCCTGTATCACTTGGTGGACTTAGATGTCGGCGAAGAGTCGTCAATCTTCCCCGTTCAGCATACGTCCATCAGCTCTTCCAAGTCATCAGCAACTCCTGAGCTGAGTCTTTCCAAGGAGAAGTTTGGGGAACTTGAAAACGGTAACCTTGCACCTTTGACGAAGAAGACAGTGACAACAGAGGAGACCACGCTCAATGAGGTTGCACGCATTATCCGGTCCA